CTTGAGATGTCCAATTTGACTATGGATTATTTAGGAGTGTGTTTTTAAGGTTCCATGTGTTTGAAGATTTTCCTGTTATTTCTCTGTTATTGCTTCTAGTATGATTCCATCATAGGCAGAGAACATACTCTGTCTAATTTTAATTGTTTTAAATTGTCAGGGTTTGTTTTATGACCCAAGATCTGGTCCGTGTTGTGGAATGTTCCAAGTGCACTTGAATGTGTTCTGCGGTTGAGGGGAGTGTGACGTGTCAAGCAGGTCCTCTTAGCCGATGGTGCTGGTCAGTTTTTCTGTGTCCTTGCCATGGTGCTGGTCAGTTTTTCTGTGTCCTTGCCGATTTTCTGCCTAGCGATTCTATTAATTGAGAGAGGGCTATTGAAACCCCTAGCTACAATTGTAAATTTTTCTGTTTCTCTTTTCACGTCGTGTGTTTTGAATCCATGTTATTTGGTGCAATACATATTTATGGTTTTTATCTCTTCTTTGTGGACTGACCCTTTTAGCAAATGTACTATTCCTCTTTGTCAGTGGTTTCTTTGTTGTGACATCTACTTTATTTGTCATTAGCATAGCTACTCCAGCTTTCTTTAGATTGGTGTTTGTATGGCATTATCTTTTCCCATCTATTTATTTTGGCCTTTTAACCTACTATATCCTTATATTTCTAATTAGTTTCTTGTTTCATTATTTTTATCCCCTCTGCTAATCTGTGTCTTGTATTAATAGTAGTGCATTTGGACTATTTATATTTAATGTAGTTATTAATGTATTAGAACTTAAATGTGCCACTTTATTGTTCCCTTAATTTTTTCTTCTTTTATTTCCCTTTTCCTGCCTTTCTGTAGTTTATTTGAATATTTTTAGTGTCCCATTTTGATTTATCTCCTAAGTTTTGGAGTATATTTCTTTGCACGGTTTTTATAGTGGTTGCTCTACAAAGTATAGTGTATTTATGTAATTCAACACAGTTTACTTGTATGAGCATCTTACCACTTCCAAGTGAAATGCAGAAACCTCACTACCGTGTAGAATTTAGTTGTCTTAACTATTTCCTCTACATACCTTCATAACTACATTGATGATACGATTTTTTTACAACATTTAAAATTTAAAAACTTAAACATTTAAAAACTTGAGGAGACATTTATCCACTTTTACCTGTTTATTATTCTTTCTTCATTCCTAATGTTCCAGGTTTCCTTCTTTTGTCTTTCCTTCTAATTATCTTCAGGTAGGTCTGCTGATGACAGGCTCTCTTTATTTTTCTTTGAGAATATCTTTATTTTGCCTTCAATCCCAAAGGGATATAGATTTCTGGGTTGAAAGTTGTTTTTTTTCAGCACTTGGAGAATGTCGTGCTGTTCCTTCAGGCCTCCATGGTTTCTGAAGGGTAATTGCTGCCCTGTGATTTGTTTTCTCCTTTAGGTAATGCATGTTTTCTCCCTGGTGGCTTTCAGAATTTTTTCATTGTTGTTAGTTTTCAGGAGTTTGATTCTGATGTGTGTGGGCATGGCATTTTTGGGTTTATTCTATTTGGGATTTTCTAAGTTTCTTTAATATTTGGGTTTATGCCTTTTACCAAATTTGGAAGTTTTCAGCCATTATTTCTTCAACTAAAAAAATTTTTACTTTTAACCACACTGTCTTTCTTTTCTCTTTGGAACTCTGAAATTTCACTGGAGCTCCCAGTGGCATGAGTGAATGTTAGATCCCTCTTTCGTCTCCCACGGGTCCCTGAGGCTGTTCATGTTTTTCCTTTAGCCTGTTTTTTCCTGGTCGATCAGCCTGGACGGTTCAGGTCACCGTGGCTTTGTGCTCACTCTTCAGGAGCTTCCCTCGCTCATCTCCACTCTGCTTTGCGCTGCTCCTGGGATTCTTTTCTTCTGGTTTCAGTTATTTTATTTTTCATTTTCGAAACTTCTGTTTGTTTCTTCTTTAAATCTTCTGTTTCTTTGCTAAGACTTTCTATTTTTTTCATTTGTTTCAAGAGTATTCATAATTTCTCATTGAAGTATTTTTGTGACAATTGCTTTAAAATCCTTTTTAGGTAATTCTGACTTCTTCGTTATCTCGTTGGTGTTTCTGTTGGTTGTGTTTTCTCATTCAAACTGAGATTTTTCTGGGCTTTGATAATTTTTTATTATATTTTGGACATTTGGGTATTACTTTGTGAGACACTGCTTCCTATTTAAAAATCCGTGCTCATTCCTGGCACCTGCTGAGTGCTGCCTTGGGATGATAGCTGGGCTCCTCTCTCGCACACAGCCCCTGGCAGACTCCTGTGGGCCGGGAGATGAGAGGCACCCCCTTGTCACAGCCAGGCCGGGACAGTGGTCAGGATCCACTCACGTAGTCCTGGTGCCGGCCCCTGCACAAAACCAGGTGTATGAGGTGCTTTTTTTTTTGGTGTGTGGTTGGAGTAGGGGTGATGATGTCAAAAGAGTCTGTCCTGCAAGGTCCCCCCCGCCCCCGGTCCTTTGGCTGAAGAAAGCAGGCTCACCTTGTTTTTCGGTCTATGTCTACTGGTGTTTCTGGGTTGCCAGCTTCTTTGGCACTCAGACCGGGATGTACAGTGGACGAACAAACCCAGAATCAACCCAGGGAACTCCCTGCCAGGTCGTTTCTTGAGTCCTGAGGTCCCTGGACAGTCGGCCTCTGTTCCCTCCTTTCAGAGTCTTCCAGGGCTTGTTTCCTGTATTTTCCCGGGGTGTTTAAGTGTGGTGGGTGGAGAGGAGTAGATGGGGTATGTCTGTCTCGTCTGGAACTGGAAGTGCTCAGACCAAATTGTAAACTTAACACATATTTTAAAACGTAAATTTTCCTGGGAAAGTATGGGTGTATTTGGATCCACACTGTCTTTCCGGTTACGGAAACTTTTATTTTTGTAGTTACATTGATCATCCAATGGCTGCTGTTGAGTGTGCCTCACAGAGGTGCCTGAGGTGCGCCGAGCGTTCAAAGCCTGTCCTCAGGTGTGCTGGAGACAGCGTGGCCGAGTGGACTGGGGGTTTCAGGAGACGATCCCTGTGCGGAGGCCACGCGGGGTGAGGGATGAGCAGCCGGAGTGGGGGTCGGGGTCAGTTAGGAGGGGGTTCCCGGGGAGGGGTCTGGAGGAGGCGCCGTCAAAGGCAGGATGGGCGCGGGCGTGGACACCTGGAGAGAAGCGTGAGCTGGAAGGTTGAACACAGGCCTCACTCTTGGTATCCACGTTCAAATTTTGGATGAGTTGCATTCTTTTTCTAAGTGACACTTTCAGATTTTGAGATTAGTGTACCTCTCCCTAAGAAAACTTGGAAATACAGAAATGCGTAAGGAGGAGGATAAAGGGATTTATTCCACGGTGGGATAAATCTATTAACATTTGTCTTTCTCTTCATTCTTCTTATGTGTGTTGTTAAAGAAAAGTTTATTCAGTGGTGCTTCTTAAAGCGTGGTAAGGAAGACTCGATCCAGAACCATGGCTGTAGGTTCGAGGACGAGAAAACGGGGTCTTGCAGTGGGGGAGAGACTGGGCTCAGCTCTCCACCATGAGGACAAGTGGGGGCTCATAGCCGGGAGGCAGGGGGGCGGGCTGGGGAGGAAGGTCACTGCGGGGAAGCATGGGGGGCTCTGGCTGAACGGACCCGACAGGATCGTGCTGAGGGCAGGCCAGGGTGGCGGTCAGCGCCTGGGGTGCTGCTGGTGAGGAATCTGCCCAGGTATTGAGGGTGGGGTTCTTGCTAAACTGACGTGGCTGGGCTTTTGCTAAAACTGGATTTTATAAGGAAGTGCGCAGGTGGCCTAGGAGAAGATTCAGGTCCTGAGTAAAGTTTGGTCAAAGAATTTTTGTCAGTGTCTGCTGTATTTCCAGAACCTAAGAATTTGGACTTTTGTTATAATATTTTTTCGATAAAAAAGACTAAAATCTCATAATTTTTTATTCTTAGCTGAGCTTCAGTCTTTATCTATTCCTGGAACTTACCAAGAGAAGATTACTCACCTAGGAAATTCTTTGATGAATTTAGCAGGTCTGAAATCTTTAGATCTCTCTCGCAACTCCTTGGTTAGCCTAGAGGTAAGTTTCAGGTTTGTTTCCTACGAGAACATGTATTGCCGTCATTATTGGTGGAAGGTACTTTTAGGGTAAAAGGTATAATCTTTTGTGACCGTGCTTGTCATGCTTGTAAACTGTAGACTTGCAGTGGTTAGAAGTGTTGTGCTGTTTTTCTTGTGTTTACTGTGAGCTAGATTTCTTGCACATCACATCGCCTCTAGCCCGAGTTCTCCGATGAAGAAAGACAAGACCCCAAAGGCCGAGGTGTGGGTGCGGCTCCCCCCGCCCCCACCAGCATGGTCTTTTGTCCACTTTCTGCACTTTGTCTCCATTCCCAGGCCGGCTCTTCAGACTGCCTCGAATGTCCATCGAGCGCAGGCTGAGCAGGGGCAGGCACTCATCCTGGTGGGAGGTCATCTGGGGGTGGCAGAGGGACGTTGTGTGAACTCCTGCCCCGCAACGTGGTGCTGTGTAGAGCACATCTGACACAGCCTAGGAGGGGCTCCGAGTCACATGCAGGCTCCAGCCCACGTCTCTGCACCGCCCCAGGCCTTGCTTCCTAGCCTGTGTGGTGGCAGCACTGGCCGCTCTTACCCTGCAAGGCTGAGTGCAGGTTGGAAGAGATCGTGCGTGTAAGTCACTTAGCTTAACGACGGTGGGAGACATGGCATTTTACATTTCCCTACGTGGTCGATTCACTGTGTAAAGCACTGAGAACTTTACAGGTGAGAACACGTTTCATCTCAGGCTTTTCCTGGTGAACAGCAGGTGTACGTCACAAGTGCCTTTGTTAAGTTGCATGGTGGCTGGAGTGTGGCTGACTCGGCGTGTTTCCTCTGCCAGGGCATCCAGTACCTGACTGGGCTGCAGAGTCTCAGCCTCTACTACAACTGCATTTCCTCGCTGGCGGAGGTCTTCCGGCTCCACCTGCTGACCGAGCTCGCAGACGTGGACTTCCGACTGAACCCCGTGGTGAAGAACGAGTCTGATTACCGCCTCTTTGTTGTGCGCATGCTCCCCAAGCTCCGACAGCTGGGTAGGCTCCTGCTCCGTGCCGCCATGACAGGCGCCTTGTGCTCTTAGATGGGTCACTCTCTGATTCCTGCTGGACAGGGAAGTTGATCTTCCGCGTTGATGGCTTGAGTCCCTGCAGACCACAGCTCTCGGGGCCCTGCGTCTTTGCAGGACGAGGCAGCAGGACCGTGGCCAGGCTGCCCCGTCCTGAGCCGGCCCTCCCGGCTCGAGCCGTTTCACCTGGCTCCTGAGCATCTCCAGCTCTCCTTGCACAGCCACTGGGCGTCCTCCCAGGCTCAGCTGGACAGCTGGGCTCCACCTGGCTTTGCATCCACCTGGCAGGACACAGGACGGGCATTTCATTGTGCCCCCAGGTGACGGGGATGAGAGGAGACAAGGTGCCGTGGCTGTTTGGCTTCACGGCCTTGTGTCCCTAAAAGACACGGGTCTGCAGCAGTCTCGTAGGCGGAGCTTCCAGGGCCCCATAGCCACGCCCCATAGAGAGGGTCCTGGGGTCGGGGCGGCCACAAGGCAGCTTCCCTTGCTGTGAGCACTGTGGCGGTATCTCTGCTAATCCCGGCCCGAGTCACACACCCAGGGAGAGAGCCAGGCCTCAGCCTGAGGGCACACTGCCCATGGGGTCCGTGGGGAAGGAGAGGGTTTGGGGTCTCTTACCCTCAGTCCCCACATGACAGGGTGGTCAGAATGCCAAAGTCACAGGGTCGTGGTGAGGAGACCTGGGGTTAGCGTCTGTGCGTTCCCGGGACAGCGCCTGACATTTTCAGGTGTTTCTGTTCCTAGCATCAGACCTGCCACACACGCTGTCAGAACCGAGCCCTCCTTCTGAAGCCAGCCAGTTAGCAAAAATCAAGAATCAGCAGAGGAAAAAACACTTCCCCTCACTGTACATGCCCCGAACAAGCTTGTTCTCTGGAGCTGTGGATAGCGTTCAGTGCTTTCTGAGAACTGAGACTTGGGTGTCAATGTTAAGCAAACAGCAAAAGGAGGCTAACATACCCGAGGCGTGTGCAGGCTGTCTGAGCATAAGTCTGCTTGGCCCTTGTGCGCCGACAGCTGTGGGCTGGTTAGGACTTTTTGATACTCGTGAGATAAAGGTAGGGTGGGCCTCACCTTTCAACCACGTAAGTCTGTGTGACGTCAGGTGAAAGCTGTGCACACCTGTTCTTGCCTATCCTTTCGCAGCCCCAGGAGCGGGGTACTGCTGCGCCCCTCTCCTAGGTGAGAAAGCAGGTCGAGGAGCAGCTGAGAGCCTCGGCGGGTGGTTGCTGAGCTGGGGCCAGGCCAGGCTGCCCAGGGCTGTTGTGCTTGGAGTTGGGCGGTTACATCACCCAGGGGCCTGGGAAGTTTTGACCATGGAGTGATCTTCCACGTGTCTGTACGCGCATTCTTACATTTTAAACTGCATTCCTCTGTACCTCGGAGAGGTTTGTGGAGACTGAAGAGAACTGTCTGTCAAAAGTGAGTGCAGAGGGCCCTTCTCTTCCAGGCCCATTTTGTAACAGCACAGATCAGTGATGTGGATTAGAATCTTCTTAAAGAAGTCCCCTGGTGAGAATGCCACAGCCTGACCATTGCCAGAAGACCACTTGTTTAATAACTAAGTGTCAAAACAGTTTTTCTCCAACCTTCTGAAAGTGATTTGAGGAACTGACAGAGGAGCCCCGAATCCTGGCTGGGCTTCCCTGAGCGGGGCAGGTTTCGTTTCCGCAGGAGCTCAGCTACCCAGGACAGCCGGGCCAGGGGTAGTGGTGGTGCAGAGTGTCTGGCGGTGCTGGGGGGCCCCTCTGTGCCCACCTCCTGTGATGACAGCACGTCCTCTATCCCATGGGGCGGTCACTGCTTGGCAGGGGCTGGCAGGACAGTCGGGGGTCTGTGGCCCAGTGTGCTCACTGAAAGGGGGCGTGTGTGACCCTTGTTGGCACGCTGCGTTTCCTGCTCTGGGAGAGCGGGTGGCCTCGGCATCACGCTGGCATCTCTGGGAAACCATGTGTACCCCAAAGCCCAGTATTCCTGTCCTGGGCCCATGGGGCAGGCTCAGCCCTGAGGGGATGGACGCCCTGCCCTGTCGGTGTGCACCAGGGTGGAAGACGGTGCCATCGCCTGCCCTCCACAGTCCTGGGCCTTCTCTCTTAGATGACCGTCCCGTGAGAGAGAGTGAGAGGAAGGCTGCCCAGCTGCATTTTGCTTCGGAGGACTCACGCGGCTCAGGAGAGAGCGTCCCTGCCGCTCTGAAAGTTGGAAGGTATGAACAGACGTGGTGGAGCTGGGAGAGGTCTTCAGGCTGCCTGCGGGTGGGACGAGTAACCCGACGCCGTAGCTTCTGCGCCCGTCACACGTCACACGCAAAGAGCAGGTGCCAGCAGGGGAGGGAAGAGCGACGGCCAGGCTTTCACCCCATTTTCCACGCTCTGTAAACGTTAGTCTTTGCTATTTGAAGTGTTTATCATAGCAATACGTGTAAGCTCACGCAGATGGAGGGGTCGCAGCGAGGAACAGCGGCCGCCCCTCCTTGCCTGCTCTTCGTGTCTGTGGCCGCGGCAGCCTCCAGGTTTGTCTGAGCCGCTTCCTCATCTCCTCGCGCAGCCAAATCCCCTTTTGGGATGTGAGCACTTTAACGCCTGCCTGGACGGGCAGGATTTAGTCGTACTGCACACGCCCTCCTTCCCCACCCCTGCTGAGGCCCTGAGACCGAGACCGTTCCGGAATGTGCCCTTCCTGTCTCCCCTTCCTGGTGGGAGAGCCTGTGCCTGCCTGCGCTAACCCTGCCCACGCTGCCCCCTGTGCCTTCCCCCTGCCCATCCTGCCCCCTGCCCATCCTGCCACCTGCGCCTTCCCCCAGCTTTTTTTGTAAAGGACCAGAGAGTGAAGGTTTCAGGCTCTGTGGCCACACAATCTCTGTCTCAGCATCCAGCTCCGCCTTTGTGCTGTGGAAGCAGCCATAGCAATAGGTAAACGGATGACAATGTTCCAATAAAACTTTACTTACAAAAACAGCAGTGGGTCAGATTTGGCCACAGGCCATTCTTTGCTGACTCCTGTTCTGATGTCTCAGGAATGGTTCCAAATCCTTGAGATCGCTTGTCCCTCAGATGCCAGTGTCCCCTGCCATTTCAAACCAGACTAACTGCTGTGTAGACAGCTGCACCCGGTACCCTGCAACTTCTGCTCATTGTCTTGGTTTTTCTTTCCTTTGGCTGGTGCACATGATTGTGCAGCGGGAGCGTTGACGTCATCCCACCAGCATCCTGGCCGACACCTGTGGTTTACAGAGGAGCAGCTTAGAGACAGAGAAGTGGCACAGTGCACATGGGCCCCTTGTGCTCTCTGCCTGCAGACTGGACCCAGGAGAGACGCCTCTGCACGGCCCTTTGTCATTGTGGGACTCTCGTGAAGGGCAGGGCTGTGTTGGGCTCCAGGGAGGGGGTGCCAGGGCCTTGCTGTCTTCCGGAGCTACAGTAACTCCCGCGGAACGGCTGAGCTTGTGGCTTGCTCAATGAAAACGAACTTCAGAGAGCTTCCCAGGGTGAACTGTAACGTGGCTTCGTCCTCACACCGACCTGGGGAACTCCAGGCTGGGAGTCTTTTTACAATCAGTAGGTGTCTTCACTTGGACTGCTGTGACAAGGTACCAGAGGCCCGGTGGCTTATGAAAACAGACTATTTCTCACGGTTCTGGAGGCTGAAATCGGAGGTCAGGGTGCAGCATGGTCTGTGTGGTGAGGGCCTCTTCTGGGTTGCAGACTGTCAAGGTTTCGCTTTGTCCTCACATGTTCTCACACGAGAGAGCGAGGGGGTTCTCTGGGGTCCCTTTTATAAGGGCATGAATCCCACTTGTGAGGCCCCGCCCCCGTGACCTAATCACCTCCCAACACCATGCTGGGGGGGAGGATTTCAACATGAATTTGGGGGGATGCATATACTCAGTCCATTGCAACAGGCTTATGTTTCAGAGCAGTTTCAGGGTTATGGAAAAACTGAGCAGAAAGTGTAGACAATTCCCATGCACCCCACACCCTACCCCCTCCCCTTGTTATCAACATCCTGGGTAAGCATCGCAATTGACGAGCCAGTCAGTGTATTGTTGTTACTCTGTGTCCTGCAGTCTCTGATGTCACACGTCCACCCTGGCAGTGTCACACGGAGTGGCTTCGCTGCCCTCAGCTGTGCTGCACTTGTTCAGTCCTCCCTCTGCCCCAAACAAAACCTCAGCTTTCCTACCGTGTGTGTGCTGTTGTGTATTCTGCGTCCTGTAGTTGGAATCGTACGGTATATAGCCTTTTCATGTTCGCTTTTCTCACGCAGTAATACGTATTTGAGGCTCCTCCATGATTTTTCGTGTCATGATAGCGCATTTCTTTGTATCACCGATTAACATTCTGTCGTCTGAATGCTACCGTTTATCCGTTCCCTTGCTGATAACAGTTATGAGTGAAGCTGCTCTAAACATCCACGTGCGAGGTTTTATGCGGACATAAGTTTTCAGTGCATCTGGACAAATACCAAAGAGCTTGATACTGGATTGTGTGGCAGTGGTATGTCTAGATTTGCAGGAAACTGCCGGACTGTCTTCCAAGGTGACCGTGCCGCTTTGTGTCCCCAGCAGTGGTGAGTGGGAGTCCCCTCGCTCCGCATCCTCACCAGCATTTGGTGCTGGAGTGTTCTGGATTTCGGCTGTTCTGACAGGTATGTGGTGGTGTGTCGCTGCTGTTTCAATTTGCGGTTCCTAAAGACACGTGATGTGTGGCGTGTTTTCATGTGCTTATTTGCCACCTGTGTATCTTCTTTGGTGAGACGTCTGTTTAGCTCCTTTGCACGTTTTTCATCAGGTTGTTCATTTTCTTATTGTTTAGTTTTAAGAGTCTTTTGTATGTTTTGGGTAACAGTCCGTTGTCGGATACCTGTTTTACAAACACGTTCTCCCAATCTGTGTCTCTTCTCATTCTCTCAGCAGTGTCTTTCACAGAGCAGGCTTTGATTTTAATGAGGTCCAGCTTACCAACTTTTTCTTTCATCAATGTGCTCTAAAAAGTCATCACCAGACCCAAGGTCACTTAGGTTTCCTCCTATGTGATCATCTAGGATTTTTATAGTTTTGCATTTCATATTCAGTCCATGATCCATTTTGAGTTAAGTTTTGTGAAAGTTGTAAGATCTGTGTCTAGATTTTTTTTTATTATTTTTTGCATGTGGATGTCCACTTACTCAGCACGACCTGGTGAAAAGCCTGTCCTTTCTCCATTGAGTTTCCTGTGCTCCTTTGTCCGGGATCAGTTAACCGCGTTGGCGTGGGTCGTCCTGTGCCTCAGCCCATCTGTCCACACTGCCCCAGGGCCACACTGTCCCACCCACCGCAGCTGTGCAGGGCGCCCCCCAGCCAGGCGGACTCGCCCTGCCTTTGCTCTTCTCCTTGGCATCCTGCAGCCATCCTGGGCTTGCGCCTCTCTAGGTGACATGTATGATCAGTGTGCCGATGGCCGCAAGATAACTTGCCAGGATGTGGACTGGGATGACATCACATCAGATTGGGAAAAGTTAATGATGATTCTGAGCCTTCCTATTCATGAACATGGAATATCTCTCAATCTAGTTCTTCTTTTCTTTCATGAGAGTTTCCCAGTTTTCCTCACATAGATCTTGTATATATTCTGTTATACTTTTACCTATTTCATTTTCCCATACTCATGTAAGTGGCATTGTGTTTTTAAGTTCAAATTCCAATTGTTCGTTGCTGGCATCCAAGAAAGCAATTGACTCTTATTTATTAACCTTGTCCGTTGGTTTCCTAGGGCTGACGTAACAAAGTGGCACACACTGGATTGCTTGAAGCAGCTGAATGTATTGTTTCACAGTCTGAGTGCTGGAGGCCCGAGATGGAAGCGTTGGCAGGTTAGATCCCGCTAAGGGCCGCGAGGCAAATCCGCTGCCTGCTTCTCCCCCAGACTCTGGTGTCCTTGGCTGGTGGACACATCACTGCAGCTCCTGCTTTCACATGGCCGTGATCCCCCTGTGCATGTCTGTCCTCTGTGTCCAAATTTCTCCTTTTTATAAGGACACTCGTGATGGAGGATTAGGGCTCACCCCAATGGCCTCATATTAATTTGAAAATCTCTCTAAGACCCTGTTTCCAAATAAGGTCACATTCTGAGGGACGAGGGACAAGGACTTCAGCACATCTTTTGATGGGACAGGGCGCACCTCATAGCACCTGTGTCCTGCAGCCTTGCTATGATCACTTACTAGTTCCGCTGGTTTTTTTGCCAATTCTTTGGGACTTTTTACGTAGACAGTCATGTCATCCGTGAACAGTTTTGTTTCTTCCTTCCAAACCTCTATACCTTCCGTGTCCGTTTCTTGTCTTGTTGCATTATCTGAGACTTCCAGTGTGATGGTGAAAGGCTCGGTGGGGGATGTGCTTGCCCTGTCCCTGAGCTTAGCGGGAAAGCGCCTGTTTCTCACCGTTAGCTGTGATGTTAGCTGTGAGTTTTTGCAGGTGCTCTTTGTCAAGTTAAGGAAGTTCGTCTCTGTTCCTACTTTGGTGAAAGTTTTTATCGTGAATGACTGTTAGCTTTTTTCAAATGCTGGGTTTTCTTTTTTGTATCTATTGATATGATCATGTGATTTGTCCTTCGTCAGCCTGTTGCTGTGAAGGACCACAGTGATTGATTTCAGCTGTTGAATCGGCCGTGCGTATGGGGAATAAATCCTACCTGATGGTGGTATGTAATTCTGTTGACATCTTTGGATTCGATTTGCTAATATTTTGTTGAGGACTTTTGCATCTGTGTTCATTAGAGATACTGTCTGTAGTTTTCTTGTCTTTGTCCGGTTTTGGCAGTAGGTGGTGCTGGCTGCATAGAGCGAGGTAGGAAGTAATCTCTCTGCTTCCCTCTTCTGGCAGGCGCTGTAGAGAATCTGCATAATTTCTTCTGTGACTATTTGGTAGCATTTACCAAGAACCTTTCTGGGCCTGTGCTCTTTGTTTTGGAAGGTTATTCGTTATTGATTTGATTTCTCTAATAGATGGAGACCTACACAGGTTGTCTGTTTTTTCTTGTGTGAGTTTTGACAGATTTTGTCTTTCAAGTAACTGGTGCATTTAATATGGATTATCAGTTTTGTGGGCATAGAGTGGTTCATAATATTCCTTTATTATCCTTTTAGTGTCTATGGGGTGTGTAGTGATAATCTTTCTTTCCTTTCTGTTATTAATTTGTGTCTTCTCTATTTTTTTCTTAATTAACC